TCGGGATGAAATTTTAGTATGTTGTTCCTGAGATCCTCTTCTTCATATCCAACGGTGGGATTGTTGTTTTGACCTCTAGATGTCGGTAAAATCGCCTCTGTTTACTGCTGCGTTTTTATTGGGGTTTTCTCACTTTTGAGTGAAGATTATTGTTGTTTGGTGTTCCAAGTTATTACTTGATGATTGTGTGTACCTCTAATTGATTTAGAGAGGATTCTTGGTGTACCCACTGATTTTCTTGGTGATTAGTGGAAGGCTTCGTGGTTTTCTCCCCGATTTGGGGTTTCCACGTTAAATCTTGGTGTTCGTTTATCGCTTGATTGATTGCTTGTTGTTGTGTTTGCTATTCTTGATTGGTCATATGATTTTGCCTATTTTGACAACACAAAGACGGGAGAATTATTAATTGCTTCCGCTAGAAAATTGAGGCGATTTTCTTAACATAAACATCAACTCTCAAACAATGCAACACTTATAATATAACTTAAACATTCAACACAAAATTTGAATTGAAAATAAACATATTTAAATACTGGACAATCCAATTCTTAACTTGAGAAATTAATAATTGAGGTCCTAATTAAAGGAAAGAAAAACAAAAACAAATACGGAGTAAAAAGGTATAAATGGATAAGTACTCCCCTGAGCTCTTCTACTTTGTCCGTTCGCCGCCGGACCTTCAGCCATGGCCGCTACCGCCGGATGCCGCGCTGGAGTTGTCATCTCCGGACCTAGGGTCGAAACCCTAGGTCGGATCTACGTCTGCTCCGTTCCTTCTCCCTGTTTCGTTTCCGTATATCCTCCCCCCCTATTTTGTGTGGCCTCAACTTCTTTTACAATTGAAATAAGAAGAGATTGAAATGGAGGAGAAGTCTCTATGCGGTCTATTTCTTTGGCCATATCTAATGTTTGCTACTTTGCTCCTTCACGTTTCCTTCTCTTTTTTTCCTTTTTGACTTTTCTTTTGTTCTGACATTTCAAAGATATAAAGGATTTGGTAAATGGATTTCAATGCTCCTTATTAATCGGGCTGACTTTGATTTTGGCCCAATCACTTCTTCCTTTCTTTAATTTGGCTCCAATCTCCTGAGGTCCAGCTCTTTATTTCCTTCAACTTTTGATGTTTTCATTTATATCTAAAGAATTTTGTCAAGAAAAATAACACTTCCAAAAATAATTATCAAATAATAAATATGCTCAAAATCATGCATTTTATGTATAAAAAATAAACAATAGCCTAAAATGCTAAATAGAACAACATGTGATTTTTTAGGTATAAAATGCATATAAATTGTCTTAAAAGTACTAAGAAATGATAGAATAAAATATGACATTTTGGGACTTATCAGTACGTTGCCCCTCTAGCATTAGAATCTGTAGTTGCATTTTGATATAGCTATTTAAATATGATTGCATATTCGTAATCTCTGTTGTATCTCGTAGTTAGACTGATTGCAAATTCCAAATTTTATATATATATATATATATATATATATATATATATATATATATATATATATATATATATATATATATATATATATATATATATATATATATATATATATATATATATATATATATATATATATATATATATATATATATATATATATATATATATATATATATATATATATATATATATATATTATGAAAGGATGATTTTTATTTACACAGAAGGAAAAGAGACGAAAAAAGTACACGGAGGGGAGGACTAGACCAAAGGTCCTCAAGAACTGCATGAAATAAAGAAAACCTGAAAGAGAAAGAAACATGAGTGAAAAAGTGATCACTCCTAGATTATAAAAACGGGGTGCTAATCAAGGGAAAGGTTTCTAGGCATTACTTCTTTTGGTGTCTTCCTGTTAGTTCCAATAGGACCGACGGGACCGACATACCAAAAGGGCTCGGAGTTACTTTCGGTATTGAATTTTTTTCCAAAGTTGTTGATTTTCAGCTTGGCGCGTATCTGGTGATCTCACTAACTATCCCAACTTCGAGGTTTGGGTCGTAGCTTCTAATTTCATAGTGTTGTGTGTCGATCTCATAGGATTCAAGGACCGGTCCTATTGTGGATGGGTACATACCTGTATCGTTAGTCAATAGTGGAGGAGAGTTTTTGTTTTCCATGGGATCATAAGGAATCTCATCATTTTTGATGAGGGAATTAGCGTGTCTTCCATCTCTTTCTCAAGAAAAAGAGTTTGTGCACCACTTGTAGCTTCCAACATTTTTTTTGTGAGGACTAGAAACTCATTTAGGTTGATTGGAGAAGGGTCAGGATTTGACACTTCATTATTATTAGTGTTGATAGTCTGTGTGCCTTCCAATGCTGCCTCGGGAGATAGATTGTGTGCACCGCGGTGTTATAAAGTAAAGGAGAATTGGGTTCTAACATATGGGTATCACTTTGGACGTTGGCAGGAGTCACCAATATTACCTCATTGTTACCACAAGCTGCTGGACAATTGACACTAGGAATTACTTCACAAACATTAGAAACTTTCTCAACATTATGATAAGTTGTTGTACAACTCTTAGTAAGAATTGCATCAGAATCTTTCTCAACATTATCTGTGTCATCACAAACATTAGGGCTTGAATCAACATTTCAGCTAGTTCCTAGGAAACTGTCAGGGAGAGTTATTTCAAAAGCAGACACTGATGAGGGGCTATAGCGTCCCTCACATTAGCTAGGGCTAATTTGGTTGCAACGGCTTCAACTGGAACTCTTGGGGCAGCAACCCAAGATGCCTTTGAGTCTGTTTCTTTAGCAGGAGAAGCAGACCTGATTGCAAACTTATTCTCTTCAATTGGTTCCTCCTCACTTGAACCACCATGATTTCTTTGCAAAAAAACCTCTTTTGTTGTTTGGGTCACTTTAGGCTTAGGAATGGCTACAGCATTGCTGTATTCCATGTTCTAGAAGTCCCTTCAACTCTAACCCATCTAGAGGTCTAATTCTTTCTCTTATAGTTTTTGTGGCCAAAAGATTTGCAGGAGGGGAAATAGTCTGGGAGATCTTCAAAGGTGATTGGTTGTAGAAAAGTGAGTTGTCCCAGGTGAACCCAAACACAACGAGGCATTTCTTTGCTGGTATCTATCTCAACACAAATCCGCGCAACCGAGGGCCTCGAAAGAGTTGCAGTTGTTAAATCAGTTTTTAGAGGTTTACCAAGCAATTTCCCAATTGAATATAAAGCAAGAGAATCAAACAGATGTATATGCAAGCCTTCAAGGCCTATCCAAACTGGGATTAGTGGGGAATCAGCATTAGGGTCGAAATCACGAGACCATCGGAAAACTTTCAAAGTGAATCCATTTATATTCCAGTATTTTCGCAATAAGCATCTCAAAAAAATTCTTTTCAGATTCGAAATTGATCAAAATATAGCGTTCATCTAGGAGACTTACAGAGAACTCTTTTTCAAATGCAATTCGTTCAAAAGCCTTTCTGGTTGAGATAAGGTTTGGTCTCCCTTTGATGAAGCGCCCAACAATTGTTCGAGGGAATTTGGATGAGAGCGCACTCACATCCTCGGCTGTGAAGGAGATGGCTGGCTGGCCTTTAAATTTGCACGTTGGTTTGTAGTCTCTTGGATCTACAATTTCGCTGAAGGTGCGCTGAAACTGGACATGGTTGGATGATGGTGGCCGGACCGCCATGGTGGCGGCTGGCGGGGATAAACTTCCCCTTTGACTTTTTGAGGATTTAAGGGAGGAATATTTTTGTGTTGACTTTCTAAAAATACCCTTGATGTGATGTGTAAAAGTAAGATGTGATATGTAGATTATTAGTAAAAAGGTATGATGTGATAGGTAGGGTATGAAAAAGTAAGGGGTAAAAAGGGTTTTTTAAGGGAAAAGAGAAGTTTATTTGGGGACAAAGAAAAAACGAAAGGGAAGTTTATTTAGGGACAGAGGGAGTATATATATATATATATATATATATATATATATATATATATATATATATATATATATATATATATAACTTTATGATGGACTAGTTTTGACCTCCATCAACCCACAAACGGTCGACCGTCACGATACAAGAATCCACACGAACTCAGTTTTGGATATCCATGACCAGTTTTTGACCTTAATACTTTATGACGACTAGTTCCTTAAATTAGCTACTGAATGTGTTTTTATCTTGTATGTTATGTCCTTGTATTATCCAAAAGGTTTTACATTTATTCATATCATCATGCATGACATAGATGCATGACGTAGGGAATAATTTATATCATTCCATACAACCTAAGAGGTTAGGCCCAGTGGGCCTCTTAGAACGGGCCCATTCAGGAACCCTTCGGTCGTACGTACATAGTAATCAATTTTCTTAGGTTCCACCCACAGCTATTCTAGTCTCATCATGAGACTAAGGTTAATCATAACCCTCGTGGTGTGATCTCGGAGTGCAAGGGGTCCTTGCATGGCTAACTCATGCATCGTGAAGCTCATATTGCTTATTTATCTAAACCACTATGTGATACACATAAGTTAAGTACATTTGTGAATATGTTTGTATCTATATTGTTCTAGCACTTTGCATTCTCTTGTTGGAGTTACCACTTAGCCTATTCTGAGTGTAAATTTGTTTTCTTTGCTATATGCGGGTAGGAATGATGAACTTGGAACCTATCCACGAGCTCAACGAGAGGCAGGAGATGTACGAACAAGTGGGCGTGGATTCACTTTGTTTTCTCAAATTACCTTTACCTTTTAAGTCTTGAACCCAATCTTGTTGTTTTTTCGTTTATAGACTGTTACTTTTAAGCTTCCGCATCAGATTGTTTACATTTACTCCGTTATACTTGTTTGAACTATTTTATTCGGTTTTAGTAAAGTCATTAATTGAAGGGGTTTTAAATTAGATGTTCTAAAATACCATTTTAGTAACTGCTACGACTCATCGAGCAACAGGTAATCGGGTCTTACGAGTTGGGGTGTTAAACATCGTCTGGTACATCCTCATCGGCTACTAATCTTGCGCATGCCCAACATGCGCGTGAATACCTCATGCTTTATCAGTGACGACCCAACATGTTGGATTTTCCAAATACAAAAATACTTTGATTTTTTTTTGACAGCAGAACCCGAGCATTTGCATCTAGTGGCCATGATCATCGCTCACCCCACCTCAGATTGGTTTTACTACTATCAGGGCAACAATTATGGTTTTACATGGGATGATTAACTTGTCGTGGTACGGTAGCGTATTGATCAAAATTATTACAATAACCATATGGGGTTGGTTTCAAAGATGACCCAAACCACCACAGTGCTCGAATATCAAACAACCTTTGAATCCCTCTTTAACAAGGATTCTGGTGTTCTGGAATCAACCTCACCCTAATATTAATCTATTTGGCGGGATTGAAACAACCTGTACAACACGAGGTGATTTTCTGGAATCCTACTACACTTCTATCAGCTTTTGCGTTGGCATGTGAGTTATTTGCCTGCCACCAAGATGCTACGGCTGACTTCAGAATCACCGGCGTTCTTGGCCACCTTGCCTTGAGGTAAATACGGATCTTGGAATTATGCCCACCCATGCAACTGCCGCACGTCCACCTCTGGTCCTCGGTTGCTCTTCCAACGTTCACCACTCATTAGCCATGTACTTGTCAAGTGTCTACAAATTATCCTATTACCCAATTTCTGCACACTTATAAAAATGGTAGCAAAGTGGTAAGTATGGTCTTTTTCTCGATAGGTTTATCTTCTCTTTTGTCAACCATCCAGCTCCATAATCACACACACTTATGGTGGTTTTGTTCATAGAGTTCCTTACATTAACAATTGAGAACATACCTAAACATACTACTGTCAAAGGTAAAAAAAGAGCAGCAAATAGAGAACAGAGGGCTGAGAAGGAAATTCGGGGGGTAAACAGTTGATAAGGTTCATGTTTGGTAGGACTGGAATTCATTTATGCTAAAAACTCATAAGAAAGAGACTTTCATGTCAGACTCATCATTGATTTAGTGTTATATTTCAACCCTCTCAACAAGAAGTTGAAACTCAAATCACAAAGGTAATCCTAACTGAGTGATCAGCAAACAATTAGGACCTATCTTCACGTTGAGAACCCTAGGATGTGTTGAGTGTAAAGCCAGGAAGCTAGGTGGAAGCTAACAGGAAATTGGCAGGAAGCTACCTAGAAGCTTACAGCTTAATCATTGTCTCCCTAACTAATATCTATTCAAGAGATGCTAATGTGCTTGTAATTGTGGTGCAACAAATTAAATAAAATCCTCCTAGTTGCCCCGTGTGGAGTAGGTTGCAGTTGGCGACCGAACCACGTTAAATCTTGTATCATTTATTTTTCTGCATTTGATTCGTGATTGTGTGTTGTTTCCGCGTCCGTTTATTCCCAACAAGTGGTATCAAAGCTTTGGTTTGTCAACACACCGGAAATCCGATCAGCTAAAACTAATCAGAGGAGTGTCATCTGGGTTCTTTGGAGAAGAACTGTGTGCAGTAGCAGGAGCCGGAGTGAGGGCCGCTGCCACCGGAGCACCACCATCCCCGTTGATCCACGGAGCGTTGTCGCGCTTGAATCGGGAGAGCCGCATCAGGGGGTGAGTCACGGGAGACTCGCCGCTGCCGCCATCAGCCGCCGCCGCTAGCCGCACGCAGGAGCAGCGGCAGAAGGAGCCTCCGTCCATGTGCAGTCAAGCCGCGTTGAGGAGCCGCCATGAAGCTGCGCAGCCGCCGTCAGATCAGATCTCCGCCGCTGGAAAATTGAACACGGCAGGAGCGAGAGAGGAGATCTGAAAGTTGCCGTCTTCGCGTAGTAGGCAGATCCGCAGCCGTTGTCCAGCGAAAGTCACCATTCCCAAGCCGCCGGGAGCAACACCGACCAGATTGGGCAGGAGCAACAGGTTGTTGGGTACCGTCGCCATCCGCAAGCAGCACTGGAACAGCCGCCGTCGAATTGGGGCTGCCGTGCAGATCCAACCGCCGAAAAAAAAGGAAGAGCCACCCGTGAAGATGAGTTGGTGGGGCCTCAAATTTTTTTAGAGTGGATTTGTTTGGCGTGGAGTTGATTTTGGCCCGTACTTTGGGGTGGTGTGATTGGAATTTGGAGATAATGGTGGCCCAGGAGTAATTAATTGGTCTTGGACGTAAGTGATTTTTTTTAGGGTGGTGCAAATTTGTGTCCTAGATATCTTATCTGATAAAAATATTAAGATCTGAAATTAGTTGTACCGGGTATCTAATCTTGTCATTGGAGATGGCAGAAGATGGGAAGTTCCGAATTGAGAAGTTCGATGGTACAGATTTCAGTTGGTGGAGATTGCAAATTGAAGATTTGCTAGTTTAAAAAGATTTGGACGTGGTATTGGGTGACAAGCCAGAAAAGATGTCAGATGCAGATTGGGCAGGTTTGGATCGGAAAGCAATGTCCATGATCCGACTCTCGTTGACCAAGAATGTTACGTTCAACATTCTGAAGGAGACGACATCGAAAGGCATCATGGAAATGCTGTCTAACATGTACGAGAAGCCATCTGCGGCAAACAAAGTGTTTCTGATTAGAGAATTGGTGAACACAAGGATGAAAAATGGCACTTCAGTTACCGAGCATATCAACAAGTTGAATTCCATCTTAGCCAGACTTTTGTCAGTGGGCATTAAGTTCGATGATGAAGTTCAAGCTTTACTACTGTTATCTTCATTGCCTGACAGTTGGTCCGGAACTGTTACAGCAGGTACCAGTTCAGCGGGACCTGACGGATTCACTTTTCAGAAGATTCGTGACCTCGTTCCTGGCGAAGATGTCAGAAGAAGGAGTTCTGGTGAGTCTTCGGAAGAATCACTAAATATCGTCAGAGGTAGAAAAAATAACAGAGGTGGTGGGAGCAGGAACAGACGAAGGAGTCAGTCGAAGACTCGGGATAGCTCAGGCATAACGTGCTGGAAGTGCAAGGAGGTGGGGCATTTCAGGAATCAGTGCTCGAAAGAGGATAAAGAAGTGAACATTGCTAGAGGCTCCGCAAGCGACGAGAGTTTATTTATCTACTGTGCGGAGAGCAATGTGGATTCCTGGGTCATGGATTTTGGTGCTTCATTTCATGCTACCCACAACGGTGAAGCATTGCAGAATCTGGTTGTTGGGGACTTTGGAAAGGTACGGCTAGCAGACAATAGAGCTCTTGATGTGACGGGAATGGGTGACATAGTGCTGAAGACCCCTGTCGGTTTCTGGACTTTGAAGGATGTCAGAGTGGTTCCAGCCTTGAAGAAAAGTTTGATTTCTGTTAGGCAGTTGGACGAATAGAGACACGAGGTGAAGTTCGGAAACGGGCAGTGGAAGGTCTTGAAGGGAAATCTCGTCATGGCCCGCGGAAGGAAGAGTGGTTCGTTGTACATGTTCGAGTTACCTTCTGAGGGAGTGACCGTCCCAGTTCAGAAGAGAAACAAAGTCCGGTTCATAGAGTCTCGTGGGCAGAAGAAGGTTTTCTATGCAAGAGAGAAACCCAGAGCCACAGGTCAGACTCAGGATGAACGAGCGAAGAAAGGTTCAAGGAGGCCAATCAGAGGTATCTATGGCAGTGGGAGCACAGGTGGTGCTTCAACCAAGTTTCTTAGAAGACAGTGGGTCCGAAGAACCAGTATTCGAGCTGTTGAAATGTCTCTAGAAGATTTCTTGCTGACTATGGAGATTGTTTGTTCTCAGGATGTTCCAGGATCCGACAGTGCGTGTGTGCAGTGGGAGCCAGTAGGGACCGAGGATGAGTCAGGCAGTTCAAGCCATGACTGATGGGTTGAAACGCATGAAAGTTTCAACAGAGTCTTCTCGATGATCAAGAAGGCTGGTGACAACTAGAGGTGGTGGAATTTTGAGTTCCGTTATCAGATTACAGAAGTACATGTGCACAGTTGAAGCGCAGGTGAACATTCTTCCGTGGATTCAAGTGGGAGATTGTTGAGTGTGAAGCCAGGAAGCTAGGTGGAAGCTAACAGGAAATTGGCAGGAAGCTACCTAGAAGCTTATAGCTTCACTACTACAAAAAAGACTTTTTAAATCGGTTATTTTGACCCTTTTAAATCGGTTTATAACCGATGCAAAAGCCAGCGATGCAAATGCTCAGATAACTTTTTGCATCGGTTGTTAAAACCGATGCAAAAGCTTCTACATTTGCATCGGTTATTACCAAATAACCGATGCAAAAGGTTAGGTGCGCAGACTTTTTTTTATTAATAAAAGAAGCAATTGCATCAGTTATTAGGTAACAACCGATGCAATTACTATCAATTGCATCGGTGGTTAACAAAGAACCGATGCAACTGCTCCCTTATTAAAAAAATCTGCATTACGTCGGAACAAATATGCAGCAGCAAGACGAAAAAGCATTTCTCTAATTCAAAGTAGATTGAAAGTAGCTAGATACGCATTTCAAAAAAATTCTCAAAGCAGATTAGATTCAAAGATCCATGCTTCCAACGAACAAAAGAAAATAACATTTCTCAAATTCAAAAAAAAAATTGAAGAAGAATTACAATTCAAAATTGAAAAAGAATAACAATATTATAGAGTTACAGAGAGCGTCGCATTGTAGGGCTCCACCACCGTGTCGGACACCTTTGGCGACGGAAAAACGGAGAAAGTTAACATCATCTGGTCAGGGTACTCCTCCCTTATCTTCGATATCAACAGCGTCCCCATGCCAGACCGGGTTCCACCACCCAGCGAATGACACACTTGAACCCCTAGAAACACAAACCAAAAAAATTAAACCATCAATTCCGCTGCAATCGCTTCCAGGCACATCAGATCTAGGAACTCTTAAGCAAAAATACTCCATCAAACACAAACAAAAACGAGTTTATGTATATTCGCGCACCTTGGAGGCAATCGGAGTTCTCGGCCTCCTTGCGGACGACGTCCAGGACAGAGTCGATGAGTTCAGCGCCCTCGGTGTAGTGTCCCTTGGCCCAATTGTTTCCAGCGCCGGACGACTTGCGGAACACAAAGTTGTCATGGCGGAAGGATCTGGCCGTAGGGGCTGGATCTGACAGAATCCATGGTGCCAGGCTCTAGATCCATGACGACGTCGCGGAGGACATTGAGGCGCTCAAGCTGCAGATCGTTGTAGTAGACATTGAGGGGCTCAAGCTGTAGATCGGAATCGTCCTGGTAGCGCGACCGGTGGAGTCGAATACTTAGATTTGTGGCTTAAGTTGAATATAAATGCGTAAAGAGTACGCAGAGGCAAGTGGTGGCTTTTTTTTGCATCGGTTAATACGTAGAACCGAAGCAAAAGACTCTTGTACCTTTTTTAAAATATTTGGGTTAAAGCTTTTGCATCGGTTTTTAGAAAATAACCGATGTAATTGGTTATTTGCATCGGTTATTATAATAACCGATTCAAATAACAACCGGTTGGCGAAATTATTTACCATTAGAATCGGTTTTTGCGACTCCGATGCAAATGAGGCGATTTTTTTGCCCGATTTTGTACTAGTGCTTAATCATTGTCTCCCTAACTAATCTCTATTTAAGAGATGCTAATGTGCTTGTAATTGTGGTGCAACAAATGAAATAAAATCCTCCTAGTTGCCCCGTGTGGAGTAGGTTGCACTTGGCGACCGAACCACGTTAAATCTTGTGTCATTTATTTTTCTGCATTTGATTTGTGATTGTGTGTTTTTTCCGCGTGCGTTTATTCCTAACAGGATGTTCCTAGAAGAGGGAAATGTAGTCATGCATTAAGGTTGGATATCATTTAAACAAACAATATTGACTAGACAACCGGTTGAACACATAGGAAGGTTAATAGAGCATAGGAATTAAGTGACTAAGCTTAAAAACAGAGGCTGAGACCTACAGTTCGTAAGTGTATCACTTAGGAGCAACTATGGAGTCTATATCCTTCAATCACAAGCCTAATCATTCAATTTATTCATTCATGCTTTATTCAAACAAGGACCGAATTCCAAAACCTACCAAACATTGGATGAATTATTCATTGTTCATCATAAATTCAAGCAAAACACTCAATTGAAACTTGTAACATGCATTGTACACTCTATTAATCAAAATAAGTAACTTCAAGACTGATTGATCGAATCAATTTGGAGTTGCAAACTCAATCAATCATAGAACTGAATTGGAATATGAAATCAAACACATATTATTGTGAATCGAAGGAATTAATCAGAAAGAACACTAGATGAAATCGAACACATATTCCTACATGGTTACTAAAAATAGTTAAAATTATTGAGAACACACTAGATGAAATCAAACACATATTATTGAGAATCGAAGGATTTAATTTTTAAAAGTCAAAATTTTAACTTGGTAATTATTAAAATTCAAAATTGATAAAATGATTTAATTTAGTATTGGACTTAAATAAATCATTGAAAATGAATTTTAAATTTATTTATTTTATTTCTATGGTAATATATATATATAAATATATATATTTTGATTTTTCGAATTATATATTTTTATATATTGTATAAATAGTAAATATAATTTTATTTGGACATAAAACATTATTTTATAATTGATAAAACTATATTGTAATTTTTGAATGTATTATTTCCTATTTTGAATTTATTGTATTTGTTTAGGTGAAAACCGAAAATAAATATGAGAAAAAAAGTATAAATGCAAATGACTCATCAATCGATTGAAGTTATTTTGTCGTAACTACTAAAATTTTAAAGAGTAAATTTCCAATATGATCCTTTATAATAAACTATTTTCCTAAATTAGTCCTCAATAATTATTAATTACTTATATGGTCCTCTATAATTGAGATTTATTCTCAAGATAGTCCTTTGTAAATAATTTTTACTCAAATTATGATTAACTGGAGAGTACTTTGGTATTTTTTATCAGCTAAATTTAAAATCATTTCTTAAAATGATCATATCTAATAAAGTGTTTTCCGAAAACGGTTTTTTGTAATTAAAGATGTGTAGTTGATTCGAATTTTAAATGGTTTTTATAGGTTTTTAGTAATTCATAGATTATGTATAGTCATAGAATTATTTTAATTTTAAATTTAATTGTATAGAATATACCTTTTCGAGAATATGTTTTAAATTCAAATGATAGAAATATCAAAATACCCTTTAATTAATTTGAAAACTAACCGTTAGACTTAAAACAAATTCAAAAATTTTCAAAATTCTCACTATTTAAACCCAACACTCTACTTATATTTTCACACTTCACTTTCATTTATTTTAAACACAATTTTTCTATTTTTCACATTTTTTAAACATATCTCGCTAAAATGTCGTCTTCTTCATCAGATTCATTGTCTAATTTTTCTTCTTCGTCTTCCTCTGATGAAGCCGAAATGTTTTTCATAAGCGTTATCATGGAGTCGGCAAAAAGTTTATCCAATTATTCCGAAATCGGTACTACTTCGATGCCAAGAAAAAGAAAATCATTACTGCAACGAGATCGGCAATGTAAAAGATATAAAGCTTATGTAATTTTTACTTTTTAATCGTAATAACATTTGTATTTTTTTACATTTTTTATATCATAAATAATGGTTACCCTAGACAGTCACAATCGACTTGTAGCTGATTACTTTGCGGATGATCATGTGTACACTAACGAGCAGTTTAGATGACGCTTTCGTATGAGTTGCAATCTATTCCTCCGTATCGCCGATGATTTGGCACATGCAGATCCTTTTTTAACTCTACAAGAAAATGGTAGACATAAGTTGTGCTTTACTACCTTACAAAAGTGCACCGTGGTGATTCGACTAATGGCTTATGGCATGTCTGCGAACGCACTTGATGATTATCAAAGGATGTCCTCTAGAACGGGTCGTGAATGCTTGTACAAGTTAGCTAAATGGGTCATTAAGTTGTCCAACAAAAAGTTTTTACGAAGACCATCTCAAAAAGACGTTCATAAATTGTTCGTCGCCCACGAAGCGAGACATAGTTTTCCAGGCATGCTAGGGAGTATTGATTGCATGCACTGGGCTTGGCGTAATTGTCCTAATGCATGGCGTGGTCAATTCACACGGAAAGATCACGGACATTCCACAATCATCCTAAAGGCTGTTGCCTCACATGTAACACCCAAATCCGTCCAGGTCTGCAGCCCCTTTCGGACTAAAGTATAAACTTGGTGTTCATAGACATTTAAAAACATTTCAAACATTTAAAACTTTATTTCATAATAAGTCATTCAAAATAATAACGGAGTAATTTAATGTTGTGAAAGCTTAATAAAAACATAATACAAACATGATTAATTTATGTCTTCTCAGACAATATTCCAAATCCAAAACAGACATCCGCCCGACCATCTCGTCCCACCTGCCTCCAGGAAATCTTTGCTTCATTCTTTTTGTTTACCTGCGAGTAGCAAATAAAACATACTACACGCTCAGTGTTTACGCTAAGTAAGCATATCTAATGCATCGAACATCCATATAAACTGAATCTAAATTCATAATCAAATCATTTGATATCATGCACATAATGTTCAGTTTAGATACTCAATAACCATTAGTCAATATTCTTCACTCATTATTTTATTTTCACATTTCAATATTTATCCGTCATTTATAATAATTACAATATTCAATTCAATATTCATCATTCAATATTTATTCATATTCAATATTCAATATTAAACATTCAACAATATCCTTAAACTATTCTTAGTCTAAGGCCAATCACTTTAATATTTGTCAGCCCTTAAACGAATTCTAGTTTAAATAATTAAACTATATTCCAGTATAAAGCACTTCTAAATAATCATTAAGCTAGGCCTAGTTTAAGGTAAAAGGGTTTTGAAAATCTTAAACTTACCTTCACTTAAGGCCAACCAGAAACTGACAGCATACTGTTCACTGTTGGGTGGGTGGTACCCCCAAACGAGTAGGTACTCAAGTTTGGTTCTTGGAGGTACACCGGGGTTCATACCCGCAAGGCCTAACTTAAATGGGTATATCTTAGAGGTCTTCTAGATACCTTTCAAATCAACATTAATATGGGTATATCTTAGAGGTCTTCTAGATACCTTTCAAATCAACAT